CGTGATCTCGTAGTGAGACCGCGAGTTTGGTTACTCTCCGATAAAGCTCACGAGGTTCTTCATCTTCTTTCATTGCAAACTCATCGGCCTCATCTTGCACCACTTCATAGTTGGAGCATTGAATGCTTGCGCTTCCCCGGTAGAGAGAGACAACACAATGCCATGCATCTTTGGCCAAGGCAAAGGGACGAAGATGAGGTAGGTCTTCGGGTGGAATTGCATCTTGAATGATGAAGAGAGCATTCTCATTGAATTGATTGTCCGCGGCTTCTCCAGGAGTGAAGTTGCTTGGATCATGCGGATAGAAACCTTCTTCAATGATTCTCCAAAGGTTAGTGTTCACATGATTTAAATGACGTTTAAAGTGGTAAACCCAAGAATCGAAGTCCTCATTTTTCACAATCTTAGGGGGAGGACCGGCATGATTCAAATGAGTGGAAAGAACCGGTACACCATAAACAAGTGGTGGTTCCACATGAGCAAAGATGCCGGTGCCATTGTTACCACTAGAAGAAGGAGCCTTTTCACTACTAGCTTCCCCCTTGTCGGGGAAAGCATCCGTCACCTTGTCGGTGGGGTCACCCACTTTCAACGGTGCGGTGGATAGTTTAAGCCCCTCAAGAAATTTAGTAAACATGCTTCCAACTTCGGTCGTCATGGAGGTTTTCAATGTCTCCAAGGCCACATTGAACTCCTCACGAGAGACCGAGGTTCCCCCATCGCCCGTAGACGAGGTCGGATTCACACCGGAGTGTTCCTCCACACCGTCTACGGTATCAACCATACTCTTTGGACGGTAAAGTCCTTAATAAAGAGATGAGGCTCTGATACCAATTGAAAGGATCGATATGGTTGACTAGAGGGAGGGGGGGTTGAATAGGCAACTAACAATTTTTAGCTTTTCTTTAACAATTTAAACTTTGCATCAAAGTAGGTTGTCTAGATATGCAACTAGGTGAGCAACCTATATGATGCAACAAGGATAGGAACACAAGCAAGCAAGATATATGAAACAAATAAGCTTGCACAAGTAAAGGCACGAGATAACCAAGAGTGGAGACGGTGGAGACGAGGATGTGTTGCCGAAGTCCCTTCCCTTTGAGAGGAAGTACGTCTCCGTTGGAGCGGTGTGGAGGCACAATGCTCCCCAATAAGCCACTAGGGCCACCGTATTCTCCTCACGCCCTCACACAATGCGAGATGCCGTGATTCCACTATTGGTGCACTTGGAGGCGGCGACCGAACCTTTACAAACTAGGTTGGGGCAATCTCCACAACTCAATTGGAGGCTCCCAACGACACCACGAAGCTTCACCACAATGGACTATGGCTTCGCGGTGACCTCAACCGTCTAGGATGCTCAAACACCCAAGAGTAACAAGATCCGCAAGGGATTAGTGAGGAGAATCAAATATCTCTTGGTGGAAGTGTAGATCGAGGCCTTCTCAACCACTCCCAAGCAAATCAACAAGTTTGGTCGGCTAGGGTGTGAGATCGGGCGAAAATGGAGCTTAGGGGTGGAAGAGGTAAGTCAACGGGGAAGAAGGGGACCCCTTATATAGTGTGGGAAAAGGATCCAACCGTTATCCACCAACCAGCCCGCGGCCAGCGGTACTACCGCGCCTGGCCAGCGGTACTACCGCAAGGCCGCGCGGTACTACTGCTTGCAACCAAGCGGTACTACCGCACGGCTGTGCGGTACTACCGTACCGACCCACGGTACTGCCGCAACCCCAGCGACAGTAAAGAAAAACGGACGCGCAGGAGCCGGGGGCGGTACTTCCGCACGTGCAGTACTACCGCCCCCCATGCGGTACTACCGCAAGGCAAAAACCCCCAGCCAGGTTGAAGGGAACTTCCGTGCCTACTTCCGCAAAGAAACGGAAGTAGCAAAAAGCCGACACAGTAGTACCACCGAGGGGCGGTACTACTGCCTGACTGCATAGCGCGGTACTACCGCTCGGCGAAAACGGTACTACCGCGGTAGGTGCGGATGTAAAAAATTACATCCGCCCCTACTATCGCAAAGGGGCGGCACTAGCCTGGTGGGCAGCGGTAGTGCGGCTCCAGGGGAGCGGTACTACCGTGGGCACCTGCGGTACTACCGCGCCACCGCGCGGTACTACCGCGGATGCCTACGGTACTACCGTTTTCCTGGGAGCAGTACTACCGCGACCAATCACAGCAGCCAGACAAGGGAGGCAAGAAAACGGAGGAAGCTCCAAGGAAAAAGGAGGGGACACGAAGGAGACGTGTATGTGATGATTCCACCCAAACCTTTCCAACGCGGACCCCCTCTTAATAGTACGGCTTTCCTACGACTCAAATCCACCAAAAAGAAACGTAGAAAAGACGCTGTCTTCATCAGTCTCCGAGGGGCACCCAATCGTCTTGTGCCTAGCAATGAAGTGTCTGGAATACTCAAGGCACACGATTAGTCCGCAAATGCGTTGTCATCAATCACCAAAACACTTAGGGATAAATATGCCCTTACAATTGTCTTTCCCATTTCTCTCTATTTCCCTCCAAATTTTTAAAGAATGTTCAAGCACCTCCAAATTACTACTCCCTATGTAAACTAATATAAAAACGTTTAGATCACTATTTAGTATTCTAAATGCTCTGATATTAGTTTATGGAGGGAGTACTAGTTATCTCCATCTTACTCCCTCGAGTCCTTTTTAGTTCGCATATAAGATTTGACTGAAGTCAAGCCTCGCAAAGTTTGACCAGCTTTGTAGAAAAAAGTGTCAACATTCACAATCTAAAATCAATACCACTAGATGTGTCATGACTTAAAGTTTCATATTATATAACTTTAGCATGGCAGATGTCGATATTTTTTCATATAAATACGGTCAAACTTTGTGAAGTTTGACTTTAAAGAATTCTAATATGCAGAGTAAAAAGGACCGGAGGGAGTACTATACGAAGGATAAAAAGGCATGGTGGTCCAGCTAGCTATTGGGTGCTGATCAAAAGAAGAATGGTCCCGTGCTATATGGAGTAGCCTCCTAGGTTCTGGTGGTGGAGGATTTGTAAAGGTTGTATGTATGTTGGTGATATTGGGATAGAGACGTCGCATATGGGCCAACAAATCTCTCTAAGTTTTCAATGCATATCAGAAATGATATATACTAACACAGTCTCATAACCTGGGGAAAATGATTTTCTTACTTAATAAACTCGCTGAAGGAAGGTGACGATAACATCGTTTATCCAGGGTATGCTGTAAATCAGTGGTATCTGCATGTGCGGCCGTAAATAAATTAAGTTTAAAATAACTTGGTTCAAAGTTCGGACACCATCCTATGCAAAGTAAAAGTACTGAAAAAACTTACTTTTCCAACTGGAAAACCCCTTTCCAGTAATTGCTCAACAAAAGCATTAAGCAATCTTCTGATTGCCATATAATAATGATATACCAAAGTATAATGTTTTGAAGGACTGAAAGATTGGAGCAAACCACACATTCGATGCATCTTGCATTCTTATTGATATAAATTCACTGTTGTGTTAACCCTAGCTTTGGTGTACATGTACGGCAATTAATATTTAGCACTGCTAGCTAGTACGGAGTAGTTGTCAATTGATTAAGCTGGTGGCGCTTTATGTTTTGCAATGTATTAACCCGTCTCAGTCTCTGTCTGTTCCTTAATTTGATGTGACGCGACTTCTCATACGTATCTATAGGGTTACTCCTACGGTCCTACCTCTATCTATACTCCGGTCTAGCATTGACTACTATACTACTATCACTTCTGCTACCGGCTGGCGAGCACCGAGCTTTACCATGCGTCGTTTCGTGCCGAGGCCACTCACAGTGAATATCTCTGTCCAGCCGGCTGGATATATTTGACGAATGGAGTAGCACGTAGGCGTCGTACGATCCATGGTAAAAAGGACGGGCCAGCGCGAAAGCTGCTCATCATTTAGTTGCTGCTAACAAGCACCACAAGTTCTTCTCACCACTGCGAGGAGCGAGCGACCTCCCAGTGGAGCTATCATCACCAGGAGCAGCTCCCTCCCTTTCCCATCCAGCTAGCTAGGGTTTACACGCAGATTATCAGTCGACGGTCGGCAGCTCCCTCCCTCCCGCTCCCGCAGCGGAACTCCGGTGTGCACGGAGGCAATCGGCCGGCCGGGGCTCGCTCGCGTTCTTCCTCAAAAGCTCAGCCAGCCTGCAGGGTCACTTCAGCTCAGCTCGCCGCCTCGCCCTATTAATTCGTGGCGATCTACGGGGAGAAGCTGGCTGCCCGGCTGGCCCACGATTTCTCATGCTTGTAAGTTGCGTTTATAATTGCTTTCTTGGTGTAGATCTGCACAGATTCCGTGGTTTCAGTGAGTATTTCGAGCTCCTTCTTGAGTTGTAGATCCTCGGATTAATCAGCCAGGGTTGCACCTGGAATCCTGGATCCCCATGGAAATCTCGGATGGTCTCGATCTGGTTCTGATGCTCATCCCATGGTTTTCATTTTTTTTCCCTTTTCCCTCTCGTTTGCTGTCACTTTTCACTAGCTATTTCCGGCATGGTATGTTGTTAATTGTCTACCAGAATTTGATGGTTACTAAATGAGTGTAAGCGAGGGGGATGTAGTAATCCAACTAAATCCTTCAGCAGGTTTTCAAAGTACATATATTTCCTTAATTGACACCGGCCGGCAAGCTCACTAAACTCAATCAATTAGTGCAGGTGTGAGCCTGTGATAGCAGCATATGTAGGCTCATTCATCCATTAATCCCTGTACAGTGGACAGTAGTTGTAGACTGTAGCACGATGCATACATGCCGCTACACGTACGGACGGCTACAGTATCCTTGCCACAGCGTTCTTGTTTCGATGCGGCGCTTTGTCTGTCACTATGTGTGGCGAATAAAGCTGCAGGTGTTCCTCAGTGGCTCAGTCAGTGATGCTGAAATCAAGAATCGATTGATATGATCTACTACTACAACAGGGCGAGCACATACGCACTGTGATCGATGCATATCATCATTACCTTATGCTTGATCAATCGACTGCAGGTGCATGCGACGATGAGCTCCTTGAGATGATAAGCGCCGGCGACCATGGGAACGACCGCCGGAAGTTCGAGCCGGCGGCGGCCGGCAACAAGGCCCTGCAGGCGGCTGCGGCGGCCTCGCGGCACTGGTCGGCGTCCACGGAGTCGCGGATCGTGCGCGTGTCGCGCGTGTTCGGCGGCAAGGACCGCCACAGCAAGGTGAGGACCGTCAAGGGGCTGCGGGACCGCCGGGTGCGCCTCTCCGTGCCCACGGCCATCCAGCTCTACGACCTCCAGGACCGCCTCGGCCTCAGCCAGCCCAGCAAGGTCGTCGACTGGCTCCTCAACGCCGCCCAGCACGAGATCGACAAGCTGCCGCCGCTCCAATTCCCGCCGCACGACGACGACCTCCTGCTCTCCGCCCACCACCACCACCATCACCTGCAGCCGACCTCCTCCATGACGTCCATGGCCATGGTGCCGCCGTTCTCGCACGCCACGGCAGCCGCGGCGTCCATGATGGTCGTCGACAGCGACAAGGCAGCGCAGGCCCACGACGGAGGCGGCGATCTCAAGGGGTTCATGAGCCTGAGCAACTCGCTCGGCCTGGTCAACGGTGCCGGAGCCTCCATGCCGACGCTGGCTGCGGCCCAAGCCGGGTCGTACCACCACCACTACGCCGCTCATGAGGCTTGGAGCAATGGCGGCAACAATGTCCAGGAGCAGCTGGGCGGCCATCGCTCTTCGCCTCATGTGGTGCCTCACCACGGCTTGCCGTTCCCGTCGCTGCTGTCCTTGGCCCCGGTGTCTCAGTTCGTCTTCTACACGCCGGAGGGCGGCTTCGCCATGAAAGACGTCGCTTCCGATGATCAGTTCCCCGTAGACAACCTTGACGATTCGCAAGGCCAGCTCTCGCTGAGCTCGCGGGGAGAAGCTTTCTTCACTCAGGAAGCCAGGGTTGATCGATGAATCACCTACGTCGTGGGCATATGCATGGTCTCTAGCTGCTCCAAGAAGGTGCGTATAAATTAATAATCCATAAAGCTCTGAGGAGCAGTATTTTACTGTCTTTATTATAGGTAAGTCATGCTGTGATTTAAGATTACTTGAGAGGGGATTATTTGGGAGTACTGGGTGTGATGATCAAGTTAAGGTTTTGCAGCCTCTGTGCAATGCAATTCGTTGTTTTTTTTATTACAAGAAGTAATAGTTCATGTATTGACTGGCTTTGTGTAATAACGATCTGGGATTTTGCTTGGGAGTCTCTGCTTAAGAAGTCGGCTTTCTCTTGTGAGTTTTGTATCTCCATTAATCAATCTTTGTAATATGATTGGTGCGTTGTTGTTTGCAACTCTTTCATGTTCTTGCTATCCTCCCTTTTGTTGTTGGGGTTATACATGATTAATTGGGGAGTTTCAATTTGTATGACTCTTTCACAAGGACAAAAACAATTTCAAAAAAGTAACATAAAAGTATACTTATTTTGCGCCTACTCTTTCGGGAAACCACCCTCTCATTCTTTAAGAATCAGAATGGTCATATCCGAGTTTCCATTTCATCATTTGGAATTTGAACTTTATATCTTTGACTTATTTTTAGCTTTATTCTTTTTTTACTTAGCTCATCCCATAGAATTGAAAGCATGGTTCACTCCTATGCCACCCAATATAAACGGGACCAGTGTGATTTGTCATTTAACAGGATCATTCAAGATTTTGTGACCCACAGTTGGGACACACACTTCCAATTCGATCGGTTGCAATCCTGAACATATTATATATGAGATTTAAAATTGTAGCTGAATAAAGGCCATAATTCGTATAAGCAATTAAGCATAGTGATTTAACAATTTAATAGGAAGTTTAAAAGCAAATTGCATGATTTAATTGGCATGCCAATTTTACTGAACTTTTTGCCTATACAATGCTTTTTTTGCGGGTGCCTATACAATGATTGTTTGACCCAAATAGATGTTACAAAGTGCACAATCCATTATTAGCTACTGATGCACATAACACTAGGAGTGGTATTCTATTTAGCGAGGTAAAACAGTGTCACCGATGTTTAAAAATATTTCATGGTTGAAAATTTTAATAATTCAGGCATATATATTCAAAGAAGTAACAATCAAAATTATACCAAAGACTTTGCAAAATAAAAAAATCATTATTTTTAAGTGTTGGAGAAAGAAAATGGCTTGATTTTAATCGGTGCTTTAACAAGTTGTTGAGAAGCTAAAAAAATGTAATAGTTCGTTTTTAATTGGTTCCCCATAGTTTACGTACTGAGTGCTCATTGGACCAAGGCTAAATTTAACATGGTCCCTCTTACCTTCTCTCTTTCACATGGGAGGTAAGAACGTAAAATTTAGTCAGACCCACTACTTAATTAAATCAACGGCCCAAATCTGTTATATACTCTTACCTCTTATGTGAAAACAGGAGGTAAGCGGGATCATGCTAAAACTATTACCAAAATGGATGCTATACTGGTCACTAAAACAAGATACAATTTTATTAGGTAAAACAACCGTGTTATTAAAAAAACTTGTTTAGTGATATAACTTTTTATTAGGACTTGCGTGTAACGAAATAAGTAAAACCAGAGTTGCATAGTGAAGATTTTGCAAAAAGGAAAACACCATTTATTTGAAGCGCTAAAGAATAAATAACTACACATTAAATATATATTTTATTTTTCATGAGAAAATTATATGTGTGTGTTTCCTGAGAAAAATATGTGCACGTACTCCCTCCGGTCCTTTCTACTACTCATATAAGATTTGTCTAGAGCAAACTTTATAAAGTTTGACCATATTTATATGAAAACAAATTCAACAACTATAATACTAAAGTTATGCAATATGAAACCAATTCATGACACATCTGATGATATTATTTTTGTATTATGAATATTGATATTTTTTATAAAGTTGATCAAACTTTGTATGTTTGACTACAAACAAATCATATATGTGAAGTAAAAATATTGAGGGAGCACGTGTCTTGCGAGCAAAAAGTGTGTGCTTTTACTACAGCTGATGCAGAAATTAATCAAAGTTCAAGAGGAAACTAAAAAAGGTTGTGTTATTTTCCTTGGAAGGCGGAGAATACAAAGGTCGTTGACTTGTCACACAACATCTACAACCGCAATACTCAAAAGCTGCCTCCCAGATGCCCGCGGACGCGTCTGGCGCATCCACGAAGAGTGACCGGACACCACACCAAAACCGTCCTCCGCAACCATTAAACTCAAAGTTCATACCTCAAATCCATAATACACATGCAAATAAAAAACTGCATACTACGTACATAGGTAAAACTACTCATCATCGAGATCTCGATGATCTCCGTTCCCGGCACCGGGTAGACGGGCAAGAGCGGAAGCTCCTGCGTCTGTGGAAGCTCCGGCTACTCCTCCGCCTCTGCCTCTGCGTCCAGTTCGGCAAACAATACCGCTGTCGCCGCCTGTTCTTGCCGGTTGGCCTCGACGTAGGCCTCGTCCTGGATGGTCTCGAGGATGGCGGTCTGCTCCGCCATCTCCATCGCTTGGGCGGCCTCGTACTCCGCCTTCAAGTCCTCCATGGCGAAACTCGCATCCTCCTCTTCCTCCCCCGGCTTCGCCACCTCCTCCTCCATGGGCTCCGGCTTCGGCTCTGGGTCCTTCTCCCCCTCCACTTGCTACTCCTCCTCCTCATCTTCCGAAAGCTCCAGTGAATCCGAAGGAAGGTCGGCGGCGAAACAGCCCGCCTCGCTTGGATCTGCTCCAGCAGCTGCACCCGGTGCTCCGGAGTGAGCATGGCATAGGTGGTGATACGACACCTCGGCATCGCAAGCGGCAGACGAAAGTGGAAGTGCCAGTGGTGGAGGAGAAAGGGGGAGAAATGAGGCGGGCTAGGGTTATATGTCACCGCCGTCCGGCTTAAATAGCTGGCTTTCTCTCTCAGGTGGCACGCCAGAGCGGCGCCACGCGACACGGAGTGGAGGAGGCACCCATCGGACCTGCGGTCTATCTGCGGCCCTTCTTGGGCCCTACCTGTCAATCAGACCTTGCGAGCGTGTCCGGGCGCATCCGGGTCTCTCCTCATATCCGTCGCAGGTTTCGACCGGATATGAAGAGTGTCGGTAAGTTCAGGCGTTTGGGCCGGTTATGAGAAGACCGGTTGGGTGACTGACTGGGCAGCTTGTCCGATCGTTTGGACGGGTATAGGGTCCGGTTGTAGATGCTGCCATACCCATGCGTCTCATTTTGGATTATTCAGCCAGGTTCACGTCACTAGCCTTCAACAAGCTAGTTGCCCATGAGGGTAACGGCCCGGCCGTACGAGCTCGACCAGCACACTTGAATGCCAAATTAAGCACCGTAAAACTTCTCCCACTCGCCGCCGTACGATCAGAATGGCGTCATCCTCGATCGACCTAATTTAAGGGTGGAAAGAAAAATGTGCAGGACTTTGCAGTTCATGGCACTCGCATGTATAATGGTTGATAAGATAGTTTAATTTTAGATCTTGCATATAATTTAAAAATGACACACAAAATGTTTACAATGAGTCATCTCTTAGCCTTATTTTCAATAACTAGCTATTTGTTACTAAAGATCTATTGTGTGGGAGCCTTCCCTGCTAGCCGCCGCCGCCTCCTCCTCCACATAAAGAGCTAGGGTTTCTATTTCGCAAAAAAAAAGAGCTATGGTTTCTGCCACCCCTGCCGGTGCCGCCGCAGATCCGGTCCTCTCCGGTGGCCCTAGGGCCATGGGGTCGTGATGGATCTCGGCAAGGGCCGGCGGGAGGGCTCCATTTTTTGTTGTTTCTTTCAGTTTTGCTAGGGTTTGTGTCCTGCTCAGAAAGACAAGACGGCGGCGGCTCTCTGAAGATGGAATAAAGGTTTTCCCACCTAGTCACCGTTTTGGCGGTGCGTCTAACACCGTCGGTGGGCGTATGGAGGTGTGTCTCCGGCGGATCAATCTTTGGTGGATTTGCTCGGATCTCGTCGTTGTTCGTCTACATTCGTGTGTCTTCGAGTAGGATCCTTCTGATCTACATTATTCTTCATCTGCGGCGGTTGCTAATCTGGTGGGCTGGTCCTACGGGGCCTCAGCTTGATGACTTCCTGACTGTCTACTACAACAAGTTGTGTCCGACTCCGGTGATGGAGGGGCGATGACGGCGCCGCGCTTTCGGCTCGCTTCAGTGCTTGTAGTCGTCGCTAGTTGGTCTACGGATCTAGATGTAATTTTTATTATTTCTGGTATTCGTTGTACTGCCATGATTGAAGATGAATAGATCAGAAATTTTCTCGTAAAAAAAAACCAATAACCCAACTATTCCTAAAAATATGATGAGACATATTGTGCTAAGAGATCATCACTAGTCTTCTCTTACTTATGAGTTCTCTCTTCTTCATCTTATTATTTATCCTAGATGGCACTTATAAGATAGCATCATTGTACATGCCCTCATGCATCTGCGTGAAAGCATGTGCGGAATACACATGGATGTGTGAATTCTGAAGTGAGCAGCATGCGGGCCATGCGGCTGTTCGACGGCTAGCTCGCACGAGCTCAACGCCGGCCGGCCATGGCAGCAAGGCTCGGAGATCCAACGACGAGGGCCAACGCAACGCGAAGCACAGCCACGTACGTGGGGCAGAATGAGCGAGCAAAAATCAATCGAGTGCGTCGGTAGACCTTGGATAGATACCACTGCAGCTATCAGCACATGCGTAGGAGAAGGACTAAAGGCTAAAGCTATAGCCGGCCCGCCCTGCATCAGCATGCATAGGTCTGTAGCCACTGCACTGCAGCTAGGGTTGCATGCATGCGGCACTTGCAGGAGGAGCTGCACTCCTGCGGTGCTAATAATAACATTCGGCCAGGCAAAAATAACCACAATGCAGGAGCTGTATGTAGGTCTGCAAATATGAACGCGGTCGCTATAAAACACGCAACGCTCAAAGCGACTAGTACGA